ATCATGATATCTTAACTGATTGATAAGCAAGTACTAATTTATCATTTTGAAAAGTTTGAAAATCTTGTGACAAAGACTTTTCCGACATAGGTTCTACTTTAATTCTTGTTTTACTCAACCCTTTTACTCAATTCCGAGTATATTTTTCAGAGAATTTAATATGAAAATCAGAACAAACATTTTCATCGTTGTAACGTCTTCTTTATAATGTATATCAATATAAAAAATTAATTGAAGACCATTTCTTTTTATGTCCCCGTAATCGAAGATTCGGGGGTATATAGTTTTATCGTGTTCGTCTGTATGTCCGTCTGTCTATCTGGCGGTTTGTTTGTCCGCAAAAACCTTAACCTTTACCATAACTTTTCATTTATTGGAGCTATGACTTTCATATTTAATATGTATATTCCTTGTGACAAGACCTTACTTTGGGTACCACCAAATTTGACCTTTACCTTGGAAATTGTCCCATTTTACACAAAAATGCCAAATTTTTACTTTGGTCATAATTTTTAAACGGTAGATACTAGTACTCTCATACTTCAAATATGTAGTTTTTTTAGCATTATCTTTCATTGGATACTAAAAACCTTGACCTTTTGACCTTGACCTTGGAGTTTTCCGTACTTATGATTTTTTTTACCTTGGCCATAACTTTTGAACGGTAAGGGCTAGGGTATTCATACTTCACATATGTAATCGTTGTTACATTAAACATTTTCTTAAGAAATCATCATCTTTGACCTTTGAGTTTGACCTACCTTTCAAAAACTTATCCTTAGCCATTACTTTTGAACAAGTGGTGCTAGGGCTTTCCTATTTTGCAGTTGTATTTCTTGTGAGAAGACCCTACTTTGGGTAACAATATATTTAAATTGCATTTAAGAAAAGTTTAATCTTCGCTATGTTGCCATACAGGGGCATAGCTGTTTCACAAACACATCTTTTTAATTTTTTTTTATATATGAGGATTTGCGGATAAGAGATGGATACCTCAAAGCGTAACAGACGGACGGACGGACATCCCGATCACTATATACCCTCCCGCTTTTCAAGCGGAGGATATAATAATATATAATACTGCTGATTTTTTCTGTCAGTTCGATGATTTCCACCATCAAAAAACAATGTTTACCTAACTCTTAAGGCTTGATAAATCTTTTACTCCTTTAGATTCTGAATCATTGCATTTACCTTAAAATATAGCTATAATTGTATAATGTTGTGAGATCAACATATCATCAGTTTATTCCCAATAAGCTCAGGTGAGGATTATGGCCAATATGCTTCTTTATCCAATTTTTTTTTTGCCCCCTAAAAATTTTAGCTTTAATCTACAGGGGGTATTTTTCAGGGGGTCATTTTTCTTCACGTGGGTTCTGCAAATTTTTAGTGAAGTGACACTTTTTCTACGGGCAAAAGGGTCATTTTTCTACGTTGAATAATGACCGGGGGTCATTTTTCGCTGTCGAAAAATGACCCCCGGTCATTATTCGATGGGGGTCATTATTCGTCTTTACACCGGAATGCTGAAAAGAAAAACACTGATATCTTACGAGCGAACGAAACTCGATACTTTTCTCGGGACCAGTGATTGTAGATATATAAAATGTAAAATCGGAAAAGCTAAGTTTATATTAAAAATAGACTGGGTAATGTTGTAGTGTTTTAAACACTTTGTAACTGATAATTGAAAACTTTTAAAGTTGGCGCCTTTTAAAAATTACCTGGCGACAACATTTTTATGCCAGATGGCGCCTTGGTTTTTAAAGTAACTTACGTGGCCCGAAGGAAGCAATTTCAGGAACCGAGAGACGCCCTCCCTAAAAAAGACGAGATAGTGTTCTTGACTTGACATGGTATGCTATGTTGACAAAAAGTATGTGGATGGCATAGATATGCCACTATGATTTGGCTTATAAAAAACAAGATATTTACTGACAAAACGTCAGAGATACTCAAGCTGTAGAAAGTCAACTAAGAAGTGTCGTTAATTAATATCCTAAAATTGTATAAGATGAGGGCTATTGAGTTCAATCTTTTGTTGAATAAAATACATGTACTGGAAAACAAAATTCATATATTAAATTAAGAATAGATATAATTACACGTAATCGATCAAACTATTAAAAATGTATTAACGTTACTCATTTTCAGGAGTATCTTAAAATTATGGACTATAATGACCATTTCTGTAGACAATCAGTATTAATATACTTTAACACAGGTTTTGTGCATTTTTAGCTCACCTGAGCCGAGCTTTTCTGATCAAAATGTATCCGTTGTCTGTCATCGTCGTTGTTGTCGTCGTCGTTAGCTTTTCACATTTTCATCTTCTTCTCAAGAATCACTGGACCAATTTCAACCAAACTTGCTACAAAGAATCGTTGGGTAAAGGGAATTCAGTTTTTTTTCAAATGAAGGGCAACGCCCTTTTCTAAGGGGAGATAATTATGAATTAGAAAAAATTGATAGCATTTTTAAAAAATCTTCTTCTCAAGAACCACTGGACCAGGAAAGATGAAACTCAAGTGGAATCATCCTCAGGTAGTGTAGATTCAAATTTGTTCAAATCATGACCCCCTGAGGGGTTAAAATTCAAGCACCCCCACCTCAGTAAACTTTCAGTTCTGATCTGATATATGCTTTTTCCCAGCCAATGTGTTCAAGTGAGCGCTGTGGCCACTGGGCCTCTTGTTTTGCTTAATGCAGGCACGTAGCAACAGCGGGGGGTGAAGTGGGCCCCCCCCGTTTGTTTCCCCCAACATTACTTTTACTATTGGAAATGTTCATTGAAAGCCTGCCCCACCCCCCCACCCCCGACACTTGATACGACAGGAAGCCGATAATAGGGAAATTTAGTAAAAAAAAAAAGTTAGAAAAAAGTTTGCCCCCCCCCCTCCCCACGAACGAAAAAAGATTTTCTAGTTTGTACACTTTTCCTTTTCCATTTTTTTGGGGGGGGGGGGCAAGGCTCCCCCTTTCAAAAACAATGCTATGTGGATGTAATCACAAACATCACAACATTTAATAAATAGCAATCCAAATAGCTTGTTACAAGCCTGTAGCAAAATTTTCAAAGTGAATGGGGGTGGAGGCTTCATGCAGAGTCCAAAAAAATTCACGTGAGTACGGGTTGATCAAGCTGTGCGACATGTGCAGTACACATTTTCCGTTACCAAAGCTGGCGATAGTCTGATTTTTTTTTCAAGAAAAAGAAAAATGTATGAAGAATAATTTAACATCAGTTTTGTGGTATTATACTACTATCACTTAAAATGAACACCAATTGCAGGCCCGTGTGAAGCAATTTCAGTTTGGGGTTTTCTGGCCATGCATTGTAGAATTTGTAACGATAGGGTAACCTGCGTCACTTTTCAGAGTAACCAGTGGACTCGTACAAGGATGCTTTTTCGGCGACTGTAAAAGTTACCTGAGATTACTACGCAGACGAAAGCGCGAAATCTCTGTAAAGAAACTGTCGCGGCTGCGCAGCTTTACTCATTGTTCATTCGCCATAGAATAGAATCCTACATTTTACACTTAATATTTTTGAATATACAGGCATTTTCAAGATAAGCTTTATTTTTGTTTCTATAAATGTTTTTATCTACAAAAATAATAAGTTTTCGTGTTTTTAAATTGAGTAAATCGATGACCTAGCATCGTTTTAGATAACTCAAGCCCCTCTAGGGCTTAAGTAATAAGTTTAGAATTTATTCATCGACTCTGCATTGTATGAATTTCATATGTACAAGAACTAACTTCGATCAAAGTCTGTTCAGCTAACTGTCATTGCATCTTACTCTGTAAAAAAACTAAAACATTTAGAATTTAAAGTTCATACGTTTCAGTTGCAAAACACACTCAATATATCTCACTTCAGGAAAGGGTATTAAATTAATTTTCTATACAGATATTGTCAGAGGTAAAAACTCTTCGTAATAGCAAAGATATACTTGTTCGAAATACTCTGCAAAATATTAAACCTGGATTAAGAAACATGTATTTTAGCTATATACAATATATAAACAATATTCAGCAATATATAAATGAGTGAATTGTCGGAAAATAATATAGTACGGCTTATAGACGCACGCATTTCTCATTATATGACCGGCTGTAGAATCATCAATGGTTCAGAAAGGTAAGTTTTTTTAAAAGTTTTTGTTATTTACTGCTGTACAAACATTCATTGAAGGTATATAGAGATAAACGAGGGGTCCAATAATAGAAAGAACCCAAGGTTTAAGGGGTTTAATGGTTCAAAAGGAAAAGGAACCGGCGTCTTTAATGTTTTCAGGTTAGATATCATCGATAAAACTTGATGAAAAAGATCGAAGTAAATGTCCACGCTTCTCAAAACAACAACCAATTAATTTTTTTTTACTTTGTCCTAGCTTTTTTTAAAATTTGACAGCAATCAACAAAAAATCTCCGTCATTTAGATACATGTAGTTGTTTTTTAAAGTCGTAATTGGGAAAGGAAAATATTTCCTCATTTTAGAGGAAAGTCACACATTTGATAGACATTGCATGTACAAAGGGATACTATGGACTTTGTATAATTCCTGTAATAAGCAATGATTGATAACTCTATCACAGCTTGTCTAATTTTAGAGTTGTTCTAAACCACGGAAAATGGTACTCAGCTGTTGATTGTAAACAAGGAATGTTGAAAATATCCAGAGATAGAAGATCTGCAAGACTGGACTAGACTTTCCCAATTAAAATAGTTCTTTGAAGTTCTTTGGACATGTTCGGTATCAAACACAAGGAAGCACACCCGGAACCTTCAAAAGGGCACATGTGATTTCAAGTTCATTTTTTTTTTAAAATTTGGTTACAATGTAACAGATATACCCTCATGGATGCCGATCAATGGTTTTCTGCCAAGCCTCTTGCAAATGAGCAAAATTTTGTTCTGCAGCAGGAGTTAAGAAAAAGTACACTCCCCACTGTCTTAGAACGACAACAATAACCTACCTTAACGAAAATGTTTATGAAACTCGTGGGTAACAATTGGGATCCTGTGTTGCGTACCTCCTTTTATCAGTGTTGTGACCGTCATCGAATGAAATGCCACCTTGACGATTCTCTTGTAAGGTTTCATGTTGCAATGTAACATATTTTCTAATATCATTTCGTACAATCTATGGTCGATACAATAGCCTTGTCAGCAAACGCAATTCATCATTGAGTCAAATGCTGACTGTTGTTTTTCATAATTGATGACACAATGAATTGACGACGAAATTTTACGTTATTACCCGATCATGACATGGAAACACACGGCGGATGTGACCGGTCGGCAGGGGATGCTCACTCCTCCATGGCACCTGATCGCACCTCTTTTTTTTAAATTGGTTTAAGGAAGTTAATAAAATACTAACAAACATAATGAACACAACTGAGCAGAAAACGTACTGACCATACTTATTCAGGTTCATCAGAGATCATTTATTAAACTGAAATATAAAAGTAAACTCTATACTACCAAATACGGATGTAGGTTAAATGCAGAAATCTACGCAAATAGGGGCGTTAACGTTTGACTTCAAACGCAATCTAGCATTGAAGGATATAATTATATTCATGAAAACAAGTAATCATTGCTAAAAATTAATATTTGTTTCCTGAAGAATGAAACTGACTCACTATATTACATCATAATTTTTCTTTCTAAATTTTGCAAGTAAAGACAATGCATCAATATAACACCTTGCAGTTCTTTATAGGGATTTTTGATATATTCTGTTTTATAAATGCGGAAAAGGCTTCTTTAAGGTAGGTTATCACAGTGAAATCCTGAATTAAAGATTACAGTTTAATGTTTTTTTTTTTCAAAAGAAAGGTTATAAATAATAAAAATGATTATTGCAGCTCCAGCCAACCAGGAATTTGCAGTGCCGATTATTATTTGAAAGATGGACGATGCAAGCGTAAGAAAGAGCATATTTATTTAAATTATATCATAATGTAGGAATGTCACTGTGTATTAACCCTAACAAAAAATACTATAGTTAACTATAGTTTACTATAGTTAACTTTAGTAAATCAAAGTGTCAAAGTTTTCGCCAAAGTTTTTCATAGTGTCAAAGTTTTCGTCAAAGTTTTTCGAAGTGTCAAGGTTTTCGCCAAGGTTTTTCAAAGTGTCAAAGTTTTTGAAAAAGTTTTTTCAAAGTATCAAAGTTTTCGATAAAGTTTTTCAAAGTTATAAGGATTTTCGATAAAGTTTTTCAAAGTATCAAAGTTTTCAATAAAGTTTTTCAAAGTTATAAGGTTTTTCGATAAAGTTTTTCGAAGTATCAAAGTTTTCGATAAGGTTTACGAAGTGTCAAAGTTTTCAATAAAGTTTTTTAAAGTGTCGAAGTTTTTGATAAACTTTTTCAAAGTGTCAAAAGTTTTCGATAAAGTATTTCAAAGTGTCAAAGTCTTCGATAAAGTTTTTCAAAGTTTCAAAGTCTTCGATAAAGTTTTAAAGTTTTCAATAAGGTTTATCAAAATTTCAAAGTTTTCAATAAAGTTTTTCGAAGTGTCAAAGTTTTTGATATATTTTTTCAAAGTATCTAAGTTTTTGATAGGGTTTTTCAAAGTTTCAAAGTTTTCGATAAAGCTTTTTGAAGTGTCAAAGTTTTCGATAAAGTTTTTCAAAGTGTCAAAGTTTTCTATAAAGTTTTTCAAAATGTCTTGAAGGACCTTTGACTAATTCTGAAGTTTTGAATTATTTGAAAATTATGAAAAATGAGAAAAGCCCTGGACTAGACGGGTTCACTTGTGAATTTTTCAAATTTTTTTGGTAGGATTTAGGTGCTTTCATTACAAGAGCAATAAACAACTCGTATGAATTATCACATTTTACTGAACCAAATAAATTAGGTTTAATAACTTGCCTACCAAAACCAGGAAAACAAAAACAATTCTTAAAGAACTGGCGCCCAATCAGTTTATTGAATGTGATTTATAAAATAGCCTCAGGCTGTATTGCTGAACGATTAAAAACTGTGTTGAATAAATTAATAAATAAGGACCAAACTGGCTTTTTGAAGGGAAGATTCATAGGTGAAAATATTAGACTAGTTTATGATTTAATGTATTACACAGAACAAAAACAGATTCCAGGCTTATTAATGTTAATTGACTTTGAAAAAGCTTTTGATACTATATCATGGAAGTTTATATACCAAACATTAGACTTTTTTAATTTTGGGGAATCCATTAAAAATTGGATACAAACATTTTATAATGGAATCAAATCATGTGTCATACAGAATGGAATTTTCTCTGATTACTTGTTTCCACAAAGGGGATGCAGACAGGGGGACCCAATTTCACCATATCTCTTTCTACTATGTGCTGATGTTCTTGGGATTCTCATTCGAAATAATAAAGACATATAAGGAATTGTAATTGATGGGGAGGAATATAAACTTTCACAATATGCCGATGATACTTCAATTATATCTGATGGATCACCACAGTCTATGGATGGTATATTAAGAGAGCTTGATTATTTTGCAATTGTATCTGGACTGAAAATTAATTTTACAAAAACAAAAATGGTGTGGATCGGTAGTAAAAAATTCTCTAAAGAAGTCTTTTATCACTCGAGATGGAAGTTCGACTGGAATAATTCTATTTTTGATCTTCTTGATTTAAAGTTTTCTATTAATTTAGATGAAATGATTGAACTGAATTACCCCCCAAAATTAAATGAAATAAAGCGATTGATAAAACAATGGCAATTAAGAAAACTGACTCCCATTGGTAGATTAACAGTGATTAAATCCCTGATTATACCAAAGATGAACCATTTGATATTGACTATGCCAAATCCCAATAAGGAATTACTCGATGAATTTGAGAAAGACCTTTATTACTTTTTATGGGGAAGTAAAGTACATAAGGTTAAGAAGAGTGTTATAATCCAAGACTATAAAAATGGGGGGTTGAAAATGATTGATTATATGGATTTCTTATGTGCATTAAAATCAACATGGATTCGAAGACTAATCTACTCAGACACGAAATGGTTAAAACTTTTTGAATCAGAATTAGGAATGAAAATTGAATCTCTTTGGGTAAGAGGTTTAGATTTTATAGTTAAGATGTGTAATAAAATAAGCAACAAATTTTGGAAAGAAGTTTTACTTAATTGGGTAAAAATCATTGACTGCAGTGGTAGTCAAAAAACATGTAATACTCAAATTCTTCATGAACATATATGGTTTAATCCAAGAATTAAAATAAATAATTTTCCTCTGTATTTTTGAAAAGTTATTTTGATGCAGGCTTTGTTTTCATAAGAGATTTGTTTGACGTTGAAGGAAAATTTATAAGCCTCGAGTACCTCAATAATCTGAATGTACAAACTAATTTCGTAGAATAAACCGGTTTAAAAATAGCCGTTACAAAGATATTGAAAAGTATTGATATTGAAAAAAGAGAAGAAAGTGGGCCTTTTATCCCAAATTCAATTTACATTTTTTATAAAAGCACAAATGGTTGTAAAGATATGTACAATATACTCATCAAGAAGAAAAAGCAAACAATTAAAGCATTAGAAAAATGGGAAAATAATGGAATATCTTTTGGTGAGTTAGAATGGAACAAAATATTTGAACTACCATTTAAAGTTACAAAAGAGGCAAAATTTCAGTGGATGCAATTTCAAATCCTGTATAGGATTATTGCTACAAATAAATACCTTTATAAACTAATTGATTCACCTGTTTGCTCATTTTGTAAACAAGAAGTTGAAACAATTGAACATTTATTTTTTGAATGTTTCTGTGTAAAAAGAATATGGTGTCATATAGAGGAGTGGTTTATAAAAAACTTCCATTTTACTATTAATTTTGATAGAAAAGATATACTGTTTGGAAAATACAACAATAAAAACATGTATGGATTACACAATATAATAATACTTACTGTTAAACAATTCATTTTTGCCAGTAGGTTTAAAGATATGCCTAAATTAAGTATAGTAATGCTAGAAAAAATAATTGTAGATAGAATACTGGTTGAAAAGGCTATTCTTTTAAGAAATTGTAAATTTTCAGAATATGAAAAGAACTGGAAAATTATTTGTGATATGCTATAATGTTCTTCAAATTTATACTCAAATGTACCAATATGGTAAAATAGTGAAAACTGTTCCCCCACCTCACTTTGTTTTCCTTCCTCACCCCTCCCCTTTGTTTACTTTTTTGTATATAAAGCTTTCACAATGAAGATTCATTATCTCAGATGTTATTATATAAAATAACGCTTAATTAGTTTAAAGGATTTATTTGAAGTTTGGCGTATCTGGTCGCGGTGACATATGACAAATTTGGGAGCGGCCGCCGGGTCGTCTCCCCAACAATCAACAACAAATGTGGCGACCCCAAATGGGCTAAATATTGTGCACTGGGTAAATTGCGCGAATGCACAACGCCACGCAAAATGGATACAATGGACCAATATCCCATTTAAATAGTATCCATTTCAAATGAATGGGCAACAATGTCATCAATGTTAAATCATTACAATATTGTTCAATGTCCAATATCCCATTAACATATCCAGGTATTAAAAATGTTGAGATTTGATTTATCAATGTTTAAAATCAAAGTAAATGCGCAAATAGCGCCACAATGCGCAAATAGCGCCACAAATGCACAAATAGTGCCACAAATGCGCAAATAGCGCCACAAGATGTCATACGATGTTTAAAATCAAAGTAAATGCGCAAATAGCGCCACAATATGTCATACGAGTTAACAACAGCACTCGTTCATGTGAGGTGGGGTTGACGATTACGAACTAACATCATCTTCATGGCACAATCCTGATAGAAAAACATCTGTAACTGCACCGCGACGTTGACGGATGACGGCTGTGTTACGTGCGTCTCGACGTTTCCTGAAATATATAATGCAAAAACACGGCAGTATCATGATAACAAAAACACACATGTAATTTTCAACAGTGAACTGCATAAGAATGTGGTGGGAGGGTGGGTTTTTTAAAATATCGATCCAAAATTGAAATGATTGTATTGCCTGAACCAACCTACCATGTGCTCGTCTGCTAACTTAGAAAGGAGGAAATTACGTCACGTACCAAGTATATATAGTCACTGTGGCATTTCTAACAAAAAAAAAAACTGGTATGCACAACCCGGATTATTCCGCGAAGCACATACTCAATCTAAAATGGGCAATGCACATGTATCACTGAGATAAAATCCCATATTCCTTGACGTTGCTTGAATATGGGTTCTTATCTCAGATGTTATTATATAAAATAACGCTTAATTAGTTTAAAGGATTTATTTGAAGTTTGGCGTATCTGGTCGCGGTGACATATGACAAATTTGGGAGCGGCCGCCGGGTCGTCTCCCCAACAATCAACAACAAATGTGGCGACCCCAAATGGGCTAAATATTGTGCACTGGGTAAATTGCGCGAATGCACAACGCCACGCAAAATGGATACAATGGACCAATATCCCATTTAAATAGTATACATTTCAAATGAATGGGCAACAATGTCATCAATGTTAAATCATTACAATATTGTTCAATGTCCAATATCCCATTAACATATCCAGGTATTAAAAATGTTGAGATTTGATTTATCAATGTTTAAAATCAAAGTAAATGCGCAAATAGCGCCACAATGCGCAAATAGCGCCACAAATGCACAAATAGTGCCACAAATGCGCAAATAGCGCCACAAGATGTCATACGATGTTTAAAATCAAAGTAAATGCGCAAATAGCGCCACAGTATGTCATACGAGTTAACAACAGCACTCGTTCATGTGAGGTGGGGTTGACGATTACGCCACATGCTCGCAAGAGGATCCGCCACCAATGACACAAATTGGTGACGGCGTCGTCACTTCCCCACCTCTGTCACCACTAACCAGCGCCTTTTATAGTTAAGCTTATT